ACCGCGAAGAATCTGTAACTCCTTCATACGGACTCCGTTTTCATCTGTCTTTTTACCGTTGAGTTCCTATTAATGAGATATTCAACTCTCATTTAGGTCGCATAAGCCAAAAACCGCTCGAACTAAAATTCGAGTTTCGGGCTGTACACTGCTAAGCCGAATCTTAGAAAAATCATAACTTCTTCATACGAAGTCAGATTTGGGCGTTCTTTTTATGGATTTTCTCGGTTTAACATATTCTACGACTTTCGTTTAGATCACTAAGGCTAAATATCGCTCTGTTGTAAATTCACTTTTTACGCTTCCTGGTGCCGTGCCGGTTTCGTCGCGAAACTTCGACGGGTCATAACTTCTTTGTTATAACTCGGATTTCGGCGTTCTTTATATGTACGGAAATCTTGTGACATATAATACAACTTGGTTCAAATTATTTATTCTAAATAATATTTAGTCAAAAAGTCATTTTCGACCCCTATTATCTCTAAATTGACTAGCCCGGATCTACGGGCGTTACAATATATATATATATATATATATATATATATATATATATATATATATATTTTGTGTGATTATATATATAGGTTAAGGTTATATATATAGGTTAAGGTTATTTTGTGTTTACTGACTTCGAAAAATCATAACTTCCTCATACGAAGTCAGATTTGGGCGTTCTTTTTATGGATGTTTTCGGTTTAACGTATTCTATGACTTTCGTTGAGATCGCTAAGGCTAAATCTCGTTCTATCGTAAATTCATTATTTACGTTTCCCAATATCGTGTCGATTCCATTGCGAAACTTCGACGGGTCATAACTTCTTCGTTATAACTCAGATTTCGGTGGTCTTTATATGTAAGGAAACCTTATAAAATATACCACAACTTGGTTAAGATTATATATTCTAAATAATAATTTGCTGAAAAGTCATTTTCGATACTTATTGCCTCTAAATTGATTAGCCCGGATCTACAGACGTTACAATAGCTGCAAAGAAAGGGTGGGAAATTTACTTGCCCACTGGAGCAGCAAGTTAAGAATTACACCGAACCATCCATGTTGTTCTTTAAGCTACTCTCATTGACCGGACTAAAAGAAACCTAGGCATTCCTCTTAGTTTATGTCTTTCGGTAAATATATTTTCACAACGAATAAATTAGAAAAATAATCCTTGTACTTTATAGGTTTTACCAGGTTTGGTCGAAAAATGATTTTATTTCAATGTTGGTCCTTATCTCTAGGCTTTATATCTAATTTGTTCCTGGAACCTTGAATAAAGACCAAATCTAATATGAAACCTTAAAATAAGGACCAAAATTGATATGAAACTTTGAAATAATGACAAAAATAAAAAATAAAAAATAACAAAGTCTCAAGGACCAAAACCAATAGGTAACCTCGAAATAAGGAAGAAAATAGAAAAAATATCTTAAATTTTGATTAAACACGGTAAAAATCAGAAAGAAAAGGGGCTATTTGAGTATTTACAGTTTTACATTTTTTTTTTGCCATTTTTTGGCTTATAGCACTTCACAAAGAGTTCAATGTGCTTACAAGTTACAAGTTTATATATAAGAAAAAATAAACAAAGCCATATGACTTTTAAAGTTGAAAATAGTTTGTTTGACCATAAAAGTCAAATAAAGAGATTTAGAACAAAAAGGGTACTTTTAATTTTTGTCTGTTGTTCAATTACATATTCAACTATATCAATAAACTTGGAGATATAGTTATGTAGACCTTGAGAGAGGCCAAAACCAGGATGATCAATGGCATAAACACCATAACCTGATGGGGATGTCATCATAAAGCATCAAAGAAAAAATGTGCAATTATCTCCATAGCCATGGACAAAACACACAACATCTTTGATTCGGAATCCAAGTTTTGGCAACCAACTTTTACAGATAATTTATTGACCTTTAGAGTTCATTTCAAACCACTGTAATGTAAAGGAAGATGCATTTAATCAAATTTTAGAGTATTAAAATGCTTCCATGTTTTGTGGATTATAATGGGTATTGAATTTTGACTGATCTTTATGGTCAAACAACTAAATACATGATTTTTTTCAAGTAGAAATGAAAGTAATCTAAAGAAAGGATCACGTAATTGTTCTAAATTAAAACGTCTATGTATCACCCAAAATGACAATATTCCGCTGTTTATAAATAGAGTCAAACTTCAGATTCTGAAATATGGAAATGCTAAGTATTCAAATTTCATATTAACATAGATGTAATTATTCTTTTAGCTCTATACTTTTAAAAGAGGGAAAGTTAAATGGTAGTTGATGTAGTTTCAGATTTTATATTCACAATTAAATAATTCTTTATAGCGTCGTTGATGTTTACAGTTAACTCAGGTAAAAGTCAAAATTAGTCTCTGATTTTGGACATACGTAATTTTTCTTTGTATTTCTTAATGAGAAATCTCCAGAAAAGTCCCAAAATTTTAGTCTAATTTATGAAAAAGTCCCGAACTATTTTTTGTTTATAGAAAAGCACAGAATACCGGCTAAAACTTCGAAAAAACCCATTTTGGCCGGTTTCGTAGATTTAGTCGGTATTCTGTCTTTTTTCGTTAGTTTGCTCAAAATATTAGAACTTTTCTGAAAATTACCCGATAAACAAAATATTGGGACTTTTTTGAAAATTACTATGGAATTAATGGATATTATTATTAACAAATCTTTTATAAACATAACTTTTTTTATTATAAACAAAGGAAATACATTTGTTGCTAATTTCTAGGAATAGAATGGTCGATTATGTACTTCTCTATTATTTGTTGACACTTCAAAATCTCTATGTTCTTCCTATGTACCGTTCTCGGTGTCATAATGAGAAGTACTCTGTTAGACGTGACCAATACAAGACTTGATAATATATATTAATGCACAATCAGTAAAGTGTCTACTTGCTATTAGGCATGATGCTATATGATCACATGTTATCAGAAAATATCATTACACGAACATATAGATCTTTCATTATGTTCTTTAACCTAACTACCACATAACCTCCAAACATTACCCGGTAACAACCATAAAATTACACACATTTATCGAGAGTGAAAAATAACCTTTGAATGACAATTTAAATAGATAATAACCCTTCACTTGTTTCCATATAAATTTTCATTCACGGTTCACTTTTCACATTTTATAGATGTGTGTTAGTCGATGGTTGTTAACATATAAAATATGAATGTTGGTTGGTAGTTAGGTTAAACAACATAATAGGAACACCAACATTAGAGGAATGCTAACTAAGTTAATCTCACCATCATACCCACAACAATGCATAGAAAGAACGTAGAGAGTTTGAGTGGTCAGGAAACAATAGAGTACTTAGACCACCAATTTATTCATAGAAATTAACAATAAATGTATTTTCTTTTTTTATAATAAAAATATTTTTTATGTTTATAAATGATTTATTAGTAATAATATCTATTAATTTCATGGTAATTTTAAAAAAAGTCCCAATATTTTTGTTATTATGTAATTTTTGGAAAAGTCCCAAAATTTTGAACAAACTAACGAAAAAGGACAGAATACCGTCAAAATCTGCAAAACCGACCAAAAAGGGTTTTTTCGAAGTTTTAACCGGTATTCTGTGTTTTTCTGTAAATAAAATTTAGTTTGGGATTTTTTTTATAAATTAGATTAAAATTCTGGAACTTATCCGGAGATTTTCATTTCTTAATCACATAGAAATAGTTATATATAAATTGCTACCATTTATAGTTTGAATCGTTCGATCAGATTCCTGTAGGAGCCATCTATCGATCGATTAATCAGAACAAGCATAAAACTTCCACTCAACAAGATTACGACGAAGTAAGTGAGAATCTCCAATCAGACTAATTGAAAATTGATGTTGAACCTTAATGAGACAGAGCATGCCATTTAGCACCATTATTTATAAGAGTTTAAGGTTATAAGCATGTATGCGTCAAGCATTCAAACTATTGTATTATGTTGTTTGTTGGTTGTATAATCTTAATACTCCCAATCCCATTTAATAAAACATACAACATCTGCAAGTAAAACATACAGGTGAGTAAATTTATTATAAAAGATTCAAAATGGCATTCAAGCATTTTAGCGAACATGTGGCGGGCAAAATCAATAGAAACAGTTTAGGGAACTAGAGCGCAAGACAGCAAAAGAATCAAAAAAATTTATGTTAATTCAGTCTTTTTCTCTCATCTGCTTCATTATCTCTGAAATAGACTCAGGTCAAGAGCTTTAATTAGGAGGGAGAAAGAAGGAGATTGAAGATGGATTGAATCAAAAACCGAAATAACAGAAAGAAACCTCTTGGAACGACACATGAGGAGGATCGCTACCTAACTAGGAAGACACGCACTGGCTTGAAAGGCGGTGAGGAAGAAATTCTTTGGTTTGGAAGGCGGTGGAGCAGGTGAGAAAACTCAGCAAGACATGAATTGGCTTTGCTTGGGAAAGAAAAACTCATGTGACATGCATTGGCTTGGTTTGCATGCATGCTGTTTTTGACAAATGTTTGATCGTTTGGACACATAACACATTAATTATGAAACTTGACAAGTGGTTAGCCTTTACAACCATTTCATGTCTTCTAAATTCACGACGCAAGACAAAATATATATATCACTCAAAACTTGAGCCATTTGAATTAATTTTTTAGCTATAACTTCCTTTAAAACTATAGCTATATATCATCTTCTTGTGCAATTTTATTTTCAAATATTATTTTGAATAAAATGATCAAAGAAAACCATTAATTACGGTCTCAACATTGGTGGATGTTTGGAGAAAAATTAGGATTTTGTTTGAAAGATGAGACGAGACGTGGGTGTAGAGAATTCTAGTATTGTTTAGCAAGCGGGTGTCTTGGAGTTGGTGGTTTGGTTTTATGAGTCACACAGAAAACAGAGATGTATGGCTATTGGTTTTTTAGGGCGGTGTAGTTTGTGATCTTCAAAACAGTCTTTTAATTTATTAACCTCATCCATGATTGATGGAGATGTGACAATTAATGATAAGGCCCAAAATCTGTTGGATAACAGAACCACAAATCCAAGTGTCTTGGATGATGCCTATATATACGCTTGCAATGCATATATGCCCATTATCCACAATCAAGCAATACTCTTATCTTGTGATCATTCGTTAGCAATAGCAAGAATGATATCAGAGCTAGGAATCGCGATTTACCTCACAATGACCAACTTCTGGTTATGGTGGTGGGAAGTCGACAACCAACAAGACGAGTTTGCTCGCACATTTCTCACCCTTTTAGTTCCCACGCTCCTACTTTTATGGTACCAATGGACATTTCCCAATCCCCAAAAGGGAAAGTCAGCGAATCAGTTGCCACCGGGTCCCTATGGCTTCCCAGTTTTAGGGTACCTCCCTTTTCTCGGCTCCAACTTGCATGAAAAATTCACGGAGATGGGTCAACGTTATGGTCCCATCTTTAGTCTCCACCTCGGAACAAAACTTCACGTCGTGGTGAACTCCATGGAGCTCGCAAAGGTGGTGGCTCGTGACCAGGATAAGACCTTAGCTAACCGCAGCCCTCCACTCACAGCTGTCATCAGCTCTTATGGTGTCAACAATATATCATGGTCCAACAACAACGCACATTGGAGGAACATGCGTAAGCTTTTAGTCAGCCAAATGATGAGCACTGCAAATATTAACACTACTCAGAGTCAGAGTCTTCGAACACATGAAGTGAGGAAGATGGTGGCTGATGTTTACGCTAAGCTCGGGCAACAGGTCGACATTAACGAAATTGGTTTCAACGCCGCGTTTGATGTTCTCACAAGGATGTTATGGAGTGGTAGCAAACCTGGGGAAGGGAACTTTACAAGCTATTTAGTTGAAAGGTTTCTGGAAGTTGAGTTCAAGATTATAGAGTTACAAGGAGCGCGAAACATCTCTGATTTTCTCCCGATGCTATCATGGCTCGATCTACAGGGAAGGCAGAGAGAAATGAAGAAGCAAATGGTTTATGTTAACCAGATTTTGGACGAACTTATCCAAGGAAGAATCAAAGCCAACTCATGCAAAGTTGATGGAGAAGGCGAGGAAGATCAAAAGGATTTCTTGCAGATCTTACTGGAGCTTAAAGAACAGAAAGGTGCTCCGACTTCATACAACTTTGACCAAATAAAGGCTCTACTAATGGTATGTATGTTTTAAAATTTCTTTTCACTCTAAACCTACAAATTTAATATTGAATTAATCAGCTCAAATTCCAGAACACTAAAAGTTAATCGATTGTTAATTGTAACAGAACATTGTGACAGCAGCGACAGTGACAATATCGATCATGGTAGAATGGGCGATGGCGGAGATTTTGCATAACGCAGCGGTGAAGAAAAAGATTGTGGAAGAATTAACAGAGGTTGTTGGTACGAACAATATTGTGGAAGAATCTCATCTGACCAAATTATCATATTTGGATGCAGCCATCAAAGAGACCTTAAGGCTACACCCTCCGCTTCCACTGTTAGTCCATAGATGCCCAGATGAAGCTTGCATAGTAGGCGGGTATACCATTCCAAAGGGTACTGTTGTGTATCTTAATGTTTGGGCGATCCATCGGGATCCCCAGAACTGGAGCAATCCATTGGAGTTTAAGCCTGAGAGGTTCCTGAATGGAAAGTGGGATTACAGTGGAAATAACTTCAAGTATTTACCATTTGGATCGGGGAGAAGAATGTGCCCTGGAGTCAATCTGGGGGAGAAGATGCTGATGTATACAGTGGCATCATTGTTGCATTCTTTTGAGTGGAGCTTACCAGAAGGTGAAGAGCTGGAGTTTTCTGATGAGTATGGATTTCTGACTAAGAAGAGGAAGCCGCTGATGGTTATACCCTCTCAAAAACTATCTGATGCAAGCGTGTATATGTAGCAGAACGTATGCTGTTAGCTTAATAAGATATGCAAGCTTAGCTTGTTTTCTATTAATTAATTAGATAATTAAGTGGACTTGGAACACATGCAATTGTTGGGATTTTAATATGATAAAAACGTTGACAGTCCGATATGCATGGATAATACAACAAATACAAAAACAAACTTCATGGACGTCGCTTGTAATCCTATCGGCATCACTAATTTTATTTCACGTTATCGCCAGTAATTAATGCCTTCAAAATTTTCAAAAATTTAACATTGGCAATAGAATATATATTGGAAATTAATTAATCATATACATCTTTAACATATCTCCGGTGGACATTGCTGAAGCTTTTTCGGATTGAAACATTTGTTTTAGTAATTTTTAATTTCGTGTATTCTAGTTATTTTAAGAGTAAATTACATGAATAGTCCCTTGTGCATAAACAAAAATGCGCATTCAAACTCTATTTTCAAAAATTAATTCAATTTTTTTAACACTAATCAACCTTAAAAATGATTATTTTGCCCTTAATAATAATTTTTATTTTAATTTTTTCTTTTATTTGTTTGCCATTTTTAAAATCAAAAAAATTAGAAAATAAAATAAATACCCTAACCCTTTCCCCGATTTTCTTCTATTTTGTCTCTCTGTTCTTAGTCACTCCCGATAACAACCCACATGCCTAACTCTGTCCACCTACCTCCATGACTCCGTTGAAACCATGATGCCGTCCACCAGTTTCCATGACTCGAACGAAAACCAAGCACCACTGCCGATCTTCTCCCCATCAAGATCACAATGTTCCTCCTCTTTCTCTTGTTGTCTTTTCTGATCGTCAGTCTCCTTTCCGACGAGCTCTACACAGATCTGGCGGAGTAGATTTCTACGTCAACAAATTACTCCCCCCCCCCCCCCCCCCCCCCGATCTCATGAAGCAACCGCAGACGCCATCGATCTTCTTACTCACCCTTTCTTCTTCTCCATCGATCTGACAACTACCACTCAATGACATCTCCACCCTAGCTCACTACCACCAGATCTCTTTAATTTTTGAGGGTTATACATTAGTTATTGCTAGTCCGGTGGTTATTGTGGCGGCGGTGACCTTAGGCATCATCAATCTGAGATGACAGAGTACACACTGGAGACTGAAGAGTAGTTAACAAATCAAAGAATAAAGAGGTGGAGAGAGAGAGAGAGAGAGAGAGAGAGAGAGAGAGAGAGAGAGAGAGAGAGAGGATTATGGTCTGTCGATGGTGGAGGGTTGTGGTAAGGTAACTCATTGCCGGAGTATTGTTTAGGGATCAATGCCGAAGATATTTATAGTGTTTCTGGTGATGGTTGTAAGTTGTAACAGATTCCGATGAATTTGTTTCTTCTTACATATAATCCAACGGTGGTGATGTTTGACGTCTTTCCAAAAGAGTGGTGGCTGGGATTTTTTTTTTATTTTAAAGGGTTAGATACACCCATAAATTTAAATAGTTTTTTTAATAATTAGAATTATAAAAGATAAATGAAAAACAAATTAAAAAGGGTATTATAATCATTTCATGTTTCGAAAGGGATGAAATGTGCAAATTTTAATCAAACAACGGACGGTGCGAGTTAATTTTTGAAAATAAGGATGAAACGTGAATTTTGACACTTATACAAGTGATGATATATGTAATTTAATCTAATTTTAATTTCATGTCATTGTTTTTAATTTTAACTAGAAGGATTCATGTGCTTTGTGGCGGGCATTAGTGAATAGAAATTCATCAATAAAAGAAATAAAAGCTTTTAAGCAAAAACGATTATTGTAGTAGTACATCAGTTTTTCTGGTCTCTCTAGAAAGCTAAGCTGCAAGTAGATTCAACAGAGTAAATGTTAAATTGAAGGGAATACCAACTTATTTTCATTGATTTATTTATTATTTTAACATTCTTTTTTCTTTTTTCAAAGTACAATAATGTTATAATCTTTCTGTTCTAATAAATGAATATGTTTATTCTTCTATTGTCAAGTATCATATTAATTAGAACTCCTCATTAATATTATATATCAAATATCATATCACTTGTCAACTTATTAATTATCAATTTTAAAATATAAAATTTAAATTTTTCACTCTAATGATATTAAACTAATAACTGATTTTTCTATTTTAATTTTTAAAATTTTAAATTTTCCACTCTAATTATATTATATTATTAACATTACAATAAAAAATAAATATAATTAATATAGATTATAAGGTGATATAACTTCACGTATTTCTTTAAACCAATAATTATAGTTTTATATAACTAAAAAAATATCTTTTTAATTAATAATCTATGTAAAAT